CCCTGAGGCCTCTGCCCTGGACAGCGTTGGAGACGCTCAAGCAGACCTTCCCTGGGAAGCAGAGCCGCAAACCTGGGATGCAGGGATGTCCTCGTGCCACTGGCCCCAGTCCCCATTAATGACTTTCTCTGCCAGGACCCCTGGGTCTCCCCTGAACCTGGCCTGGGGGTTTGAGCCTGACCCAGCCCTGACCAGAGAAGACCTGCCTTGATGGGTGAGGAACAGAGTCCAGGCCCACACTCTGGGCCCTAGGCTCTTGGCAGACCACGGTAGGGGCGGTGGGGATGCTGCAAGGAAGCCCAGGGCCAGGTGGAATCAGGAGTCCCTGTGGAGGAGACACATGCACCTGCTTGCCCTCCGCTGTGACCTGCTGCAGACTCCGGTGTCCCTTACCTCCGACCTCCATGACACATCTCTTTGAGACCTGGATGCCCCTTCATGGGTGGACTTTGGTCTGCCGGGGGCTGCGGGCCGGCCTTCCCCACTGAGAGCTCCCCTTCTCTGAGAACCTCTCCTGGAATCCATTCTCTGCCTTTAGTAACGTGTGCCTCCCCTATCTTCCTGTCTCTTTATTTCTAACTTTTCTTCTTGTTTCTGAGTCGGATCCCAAGAGCACACGATGGGATCGTATTTCTCAGCCTCATCGGAGCGTGCGTGGTCTAAATGTGTTCCAGCCGGTCTGCTCTTTGCTGTCCTGCCCTGGCCCCTCCGCTGGTTCTTGCTTTTGCCCTAATTTTCAGGTTATTTCAATTCCATATCTCTCACACTCAGGAAGTTCCTTATTTTCTCTTCTCTTGGTAGATATTTATTTGAATTTACGTCTTGCTTGTCTTACTTTCTTGGGCTGTTCACCAGGCACGGTGACACCCTCATGAGTTCACACGGGGAACGAGCCTGCCCCTCCCATGTCCGCCATCCAGCACCGCGACCGTGATGCTGGGGTCTGCTCCTTGTTCGTACATGGTCGTGTGGGTCCTCGAGTTCTCCTTCCCTTCATCGGTCCCCAGATGGCCCAGGTGTCCATCCTTTCGAAACCCTCCTGACCCTTGATTTTGACCTTCTGTTTTTCAAATTCAGAATTCACCTGAGTGATGGGCTCCATGGCCCTGACTTTACGTGCAGCTTTGCTCATTGTGCATGGACTTCCTCTTTGCACTCGCAGGGTTTGCTTCTCTCGAGCTGGCTCCCTGCTTCTCCCCGGTACTCAGGGAGTCCGGTGGAGCATGAGGAGAGGCAAGCACTGGCTTCAGATGCAAACTCCACAGTGGAGGGGCCTGCCAATACTTCAGTCCTCAAAGTGAATAGCACATCAGTGCAATATTTCTAAAAATCAAAAATTTGTGCAAAAAATACACGAATAAAAGATAAACTTTCAAGTGAAGACAGGGCCAGTATTCTGACCTCCCCTTCTGTGCCCAACTCCAACGCAGCTCTACCGGCACGAGCCTCTGGGAGGCCCACTCTGTGCTCGAACGATGGCTGCTCAGGCCAGAGGGCAGCATCTCCAGGAGTCGAGCTGTGCGCGTGACCACACTCCCTACTACTCAGTGCTACTGAGTAGTAGTAGGGTGCTACTCAGAGGAGAGGACTCCAGGCCACTGGGGTCAGCAACACGTGGGAGGCCCTACGTGACCTTGTTCAGATGTCATGATGGTTCAGAGCATCACACCGAGGGTGAGCCGGCTCCGAGCCGGAGGGCAAGCTGTCTGGGCAGAGGCTTGGGCCCACACTGAGGGTCCCATTTCCCATCACTCCTTTGTCTGGCTCATAACTTGTCGGGGACAAGGCAGCGAGGCTGAGTGGGCTTGGGGTCAGGCTGCTGTGCCTCCTCAGCCTCAGTTTCTCTGCAGAGCAGAAGTCACTGTGGTCCTGTTGGAAGCGCTAACATGTGAGCCTCCCAGAACCACGCACCGTGGGTCAAGGCGCTCTGAACTCACACGTAGGCCTGTTTGCTCCGTACGGCTTCGTCGTTCACCCTGGAGTTTCCGGTTGCCTTTCTCTGTTCCTCCCCGGGTGCTATTATCATACTCGCAATCTCCCAAGTGCCGGGCTTCATGTCTCGTGGCCCCTTACTTTGGAGCTATGGTTTCCACTTAATGTCTCCACTATGCGCCTAGCTCTCTTTTTGGGTTATGTTCTTATTTTGTTAGAGTTGGTCCTTAAATCGTTCTTTAGCAGTGGGTATGTGGGAAGTAAGTGTCTGAGTCCTTGACTGCACGTGTCTGTATGTTCTCCTCATAACTGGTCAGTGCTGGGCGCTTGGGGGGGCTCAGTCTGTGAAGCATCTGCCTTCATGTCAGGTCACAACCCCGGGGTCCTGGGATCGAGGCCCACCCTGGGCTCCCTGCTTAGCGGGGAGCCTGCTTCTCCCTTTCCCTCTGCCTCTGCCCCTCTGCTTGACCACTCTCTCTCTCTGATGTGAGCTCTTTTGGATTCTCTTCTTCTTACCCAAATATACAAGAACAGGGGTCTGCTCTTCCATTACCCCCTGGAGGAGGCAGGTGAGGAAGTTGTGGGGACTTCTCATGGCATCCGCTTCTCCTTCCAGTCTCCTGCCCTTGCTGCTGGGGCCTGTGTGGCATCCATCCTCCACAGCCCCAGGCAGGAGCGGTCCAGGGAGAGAGCCGGGCCGGCCTGGCCCAGGCTATTCATTTTTAAGGGTTCACCGTGAGGAGAGCGATAAGGAGGGGGAGGCCTCTTTTGCGAAGAGCCCGTGCTTCACAACGAGCCAGTCCCAGCTTCGGACCCCAGGCCGCCGCGGGTTGCGCTTCCCGGAGACAGCTGCCGCAGGCCCCAGCCCACAGGCTACCCTCACGGTGCAACGCCGAGTGCTCCGTGGCGAGGTGACTGCCTCGAACCTCCTGGCTGACAGACGGCGGCAGGCGTGACTTCTGTGCTGCTGCCTGGCTCCGTCCTCCGGACACCTGGCCTGGCTGTGTTCTTGCCAGCAGCCCCAGTGGGGTCCCGGCTGACAGACAGACACAAGCTTTCTGGTGATCTCAGCGCCACTTCCAAGGCTTCCGGCTGAGGCCCGGACGCGGGGGCCAGAGACCGGCCGGCCCCCCGGGGCCCTGATGCAGCCCCGGCCCACAGGAGAGCAGGACGTGAGCGTGGTGGGGTGCAGGCTGCTGAGCGGTGGGACCGTGTGTGCGGGCAGGAGAGAACGGACGCACCGGCCACTTCACGGTCACTGGTGCCGTCAGTCTTCTTGTCTGCGAAATGGGCGTGACTAATCGAACCTCATGGAGAGTGGCTCTGCCTCCCACTCCCGGCTGCCGCCTTCTCGGTGCCCCGCAGTTGCTTCCTCCAGTCAGGAGAGACCTCCTGTGCCCGCCTCGCATCTCGGTTGCAGACAACACGGGCCTGCTGTGGGTGGCCCCCACCGGGGATGGAAGCCAGGCCAGTGCTCTTCCCATCTGGTCCCTGGGAGGACTTGTGAGGCCCCCTGAGGAGGCTCTCTCAGACCCTCCCCTCCTCCTTGCCCCACGGCCGTGTCCCGTGCAAGCAGCCTCCACCCAGTCCTCGCCTCCAGCCCGGCTTTCCGGGAGCGCTCAGCAGTGTGCTTGCGAGTCTACCGCTTTGTATTTAATAACGGGAAAAGTGCTATTATTGAGAAGTCAGCAGCACTTGCCATAAGCAGAAGGAACACAGTGAAAGTAAACACATGGAAACAGACCAGTGCCACCAAGTCTCAGCCAGAGCCATGGGGAGACAACACGCGCAGGGACAGCTCTCCCGGCGGCGGCGGCGGCACGCCCCACCGGCCGGCAGGACCTCTGTGCAAACCTGCCGCGACGCAGCCAGGGGGCCACCAGAGGCCTCCGTCCTGGGCCCCTCACAGAAGCCCAGGACCAGGAATTATCAGTTGAATTCCACCAACACTGCCTCCTCGTGGGGGACCCAAGAAAGCCTCTCCCACCAGCTGCTCAGAGGACCAGCCCAGGCAGGTAGCTCACAGCAGCATGGAGGCCCCAAGATGTGTGACCCCCCCTCCTTCACAGGCTCATGTGCTCTGCAGCGTGAACACACACAGGCAGAAACACACACACGCACAGAAACCCCACACACAGACATGCGCCCCCAATGTGTGCCCTGGACAGAGTGACACATGATGGAGACATGCCACACACGCATGCAAACACGCCCACACCCCCATAGACATCACCCACATCCACATCCAGATGTCCCAGCACCTGCACACGTTCACACCTGACGACACGCCCGCCTGGGGCCCACCATGCACGTGCACATGTGCCCATGGACATCACAGACAGGAATGCTCAGACGTCCCACACCCTTGCAGGGAGGTTGGAGCAGGGGCGAGGTGATGTGTTCCTGGGGGGATCCAGGGCGCAGGACTGGCTCCAGCCTTTCTCCCAGGCTACCTTGGCCCTGGGGTGTCCTTAAGCCCCTCAACCTTCCAGGCCTAGCCAGGAGGCCACCACACTGACCTCTGCTCCCCAGTATCCGCAGAGACGACACCTCTGTTCCCCCGCTAGTTGTCTTCAGGCTGGTGGCTTCTCCACAGCCCTCCTGGTCCCACCTTGTCCTCTACTCCCCTGGGGAGACTGCGGAACCCTGCTGGCTCCCTCCACTGCTCTGAGCCTCCTGGCCCACTGTCCACACAGCAGGGGGTCCCCTACCCCCCCCCCTCCCTTCCCACCCCAGGACTTCCCCAAGAGGCTCCTAGGTGGTCAGCTGAGAAGGGAGGGATCCAGCTGTGTCTCACCACCTCCCCAAACCCAGAAGTGAACGTTTTTTTATTTGAGAGAGACAGAGCAGTGAGAGAGGGGCGGAGGGGGAGGGAGAGAGAACCCTCAAGCAAACCCCCCGCTGAGCACAGACCCAGATGCAGGGCTCAGTCCCGGGACCCTGCGATCACGACCTGAGCCGAAATCAAGAGTCGACTTCACCGACTGCACCCCTCAGGCGCCCGCAGAAGTGACCTTCTTACCTCTCTGCCTGCCATCTATCTGTCACCCAAGAATCCCAGAACCCAGCCTGCTGGGCCCTTTCTTTCCCCCACTCACAACACGCTCCTCTGTTGGCTATGACTGAACCTGTCTGCCTCTCCCCAGGTCAAGCTCAGAGCCTCCCTGGGCATACAGCTGGTGCCCACTAATGAATGCAGCCTCATCAGGTGGCTCTCCAGGGGGTGGGAGGAGACAGGCCTCCTAGGGCCTGAGCGCCCTGGCCCCAGGCCCAGTTCCCAGGCTCCCCAAGACTCACCATGGGCAGGATGTCATGTGCTGTCTGCCTCTTGGCCGCTGCTCCCAGCTCGTTCAAGGACTGGGGTGGGGGGGTTGGTTTCTGTTTCTCTCAAGTTCGTCCCACCCCAGAGTTCTCCAGTCAGCTTCCCTCTCGCACAAAAAGCCACCTCTTTAAAAACAAGTTCTCCCAGGGGCCTCTGCAGTGCACCACAGCCACGGAGAGCAGGACCCAGGGGCTTAATGTCTTACACATGTCAGCTGGTTGTGGTTTCCGCAGACACGCATACACACCAGCCCTCAGTCAGCCTTGTGCATTTGGCCGTCCCCTGGGGCCTGAGGTTCCCTGTCCTGCAGTCTGGGCCTCAGGCCCCCAGGGTAGGCTGGCAGCCACAAGAAAGCATCCCAGACAGGAATGTGGGGGTGCTCTCAGGTAGTCTACTAACATCAGAACCGAGGAATTGAGAGCCAGGGATGAGGGGCCTGGGGGCTGGGGGCTCACGGAGGGCTCACCGGCCCCCAGGCAGCCTGTCCCCCAAGGACCAGGGATGCCCACCCAGACACTCTCTCCCAGTCTTCTAGGCCCTGCCCACTGCCCTCACACCCTGGGGTCGAGAAGGACCTTCTGTGTGCAGGCTTGGGCAATGTCCTGTCTTGGTTATAGGAATGGGGTTGGTGCTAGCCCAGCCCAGAGGCTCGGGCCCTGGTTTCTATGCATGTCATGGGAGGCGGGTGATTTCCCCCACATTCCAGCTATTAGAGGACTGAAAGTAATCACGGATCGGAATGTCCTCTGGCAGAGCCGTGGGGACTTTCGAAATCAGGAAGATCTGTGGGGAACCGGGCTAGCTGTGGGATGGCTTCACCACGGGGCTGGGGCACATACCATGGGGAGCACTCTCTCTGGGCATGCAGCAAGCTGCCCTGTCCCCACAGGGCGAGGGACAGCCCGCTAGGGCAGAAGCCTCAGTGGGGACACAGTGGGGGCATAGCCTCCTCCCTGGCTGCGGGACTCTCCTGGGCCTCAGTCACCAGTTCCAGAGTAGGAGCAGCCCCTGGTCAGGAGCTATGGCTCACACCAGACCTGGCGGGACATGGCTGAGAGGGGCCTCTCTCCCTCTCAGAGCTCAGGCAGTGAGGGGGACACTCCAACAGAGCGAGAGATCCAGGGTGAGGGCAGGGCTGCCCAGCAGACAGTGACAGAGGCAGAAGAAGGGCTGTGTCAGGGCCCGGCCCCAGGGAAGGTGAAGGAAGACCAGGGCCTCGGGGAGGCAGGTGGACACAGACCCCGGCCTGGAGGATCGTTCCTCAGTCCCACATTCAGGGAGGCACTGCTCGGGGACACTAAGACGATTGAGCAGAACGTCCCCTCTGCACCTGCCCTGGGGCACTGTCATCACCCAGGAGGCACCCCCCCAGCAAGACCCTGGTCCGGGGCAGGGCAGGAGGCCTGGATCTGTTGTCACTGGCTTTCAGGAGAAGAGCAGATAGAGGGGAGGGAGACAAATGTCTTCTTTAAATGTTACTACTTTTTGTAGTGTTTGAGATTATTAACATGTGCATTAAAATGGAAAATTGAATTAATTAAAACAGAAAAAAGGAGCCACCGAGGGGTCAAGCAAGCCTACTCTCTGAACTGTGACCTAGGGGGCCTGGGGTCCCCTCTGATTCTGCCCCAAACTAGCCCTGAGCCTTCCATTCGTGGGGTGTAGGTGAGACCCCCCCACACACTGTTGGCTTCAGATGCCCCCTGACTACCCACCTGTGGGCCAGACCCCCAGCAGGGTCAGGAGTCCAGGGGGAAAGGAGAGAGGACAAGTGTCGGGGACAGAACAGCCAGCCCCTGAGCTAGACAGGAGCAGGGCGGCGAGGGGCCTCCTGCCGGGGCTGGGCTGGTCCCTGGACGCAGACTGGGGGCCACAGTGCCCAGCACGGCAACACCGTGGACAGGGGAAGAGTCACGTGCACATGCCGAGGACCCCCGAGTGCTGTCTGTGAGGACCTGAGGCTGGCAGACACTCAGGGTCCAGGCCAGGGGCTCAGGGTCAGTCCCCCTCGGCAGGAGCCCTAGTAGCCCTGACAGTGGGTGGCCCTGCGGTCCCTCCTGTCCGCCCTCTGCAGGCCGGCTGGGCCCCTGCAGGTGTAGCCTAGGAGGAGCCTTCCCTTGGGGGCAGCGTCTGCAGACACTGGGGGCCCAGGTGGGCTGCTCAGGCGCTGTTACCCCCTTTCCCAGCTCTGGAAACAGGCACGGACTGCCCAGACCACAGGGTTCCAAGTTGCACATCGCCGCCTTTACCACTTCTGTGCTTTCCACCCTGATCAGGCCAGGACGGGGCGGGGAGGGGCATCTGGACCTCCCCTGCCTGCCCTGTCCCCCGGGGCCTGAGGCCACCCTCCGTGGCTTCAAGGAACAACCCTGCAGCTTCTGTTTCCCAGTGGGCCCCACGGTGAGGCCACTTCTCAGCAGCCCCGGCACCAGGCAGGGTCCCCTCCCTCTGGCGGGTCCTGGCCTATCCCAGCCCATGCCCACCTGTCCCCTCACATCCACTGAGCTCCAGACCCTGGGTCCTACTATGCACACACAGGGAGTTAAACTCTGCCCCCTCCCAGAGTCTGGGACAGTGACAACTGAGTGACAAAAGGGAAATACAGACTCCTTGTAAAATAAGTGATTTTTTTTTTTAAGATTTTATTTATGGGGTGCCTGGGTGGCTCAGTGGGTTAAAGCCTCTGCCTTCGGCTCAGGTTGTGATCCCAGGGTCCTGGGATCGAGCCCCTCAGCAGGGAACCTGCTTCCTCCTCTCTGTTTGCCTGCCTCTCTGCCTACTTGTGATCTCTGTCTGTCAAATAAAT